GGGCTCAAGCGAGTCTCCTGCCTCCGCCTCCCAAGCAGCTGGGACCACAGGCGCCCGCCACAACGCCCGGCCATTTCTTGGTTGCAGCCGTCATTGTTTGGCGGGTCCGGGCTGGGGATTCGAACCCGCCACCCTAGGTGTACATGGCTGGCGCCTTAGCCCGCAGTGGGACTTCTAGGGCTTTATTATTGGAAGAGAGAAAGGAGAAAGGCCAGACAGGAAGGAAACTAGAACACAAAGGAGGGTGCAGCCAGGACTACTGAGCAGAGGGCCAACTTTGCTGCTCAGGGACAGTCTGGTGGGAGACCCATAATTCAGATGGGGGGGTGCTGTGATCCCCACGAAGGGCAGAGGGCCAGGTGAGGGAATGGGCACCCAGGTCTGCAGATACCAGGACCTGTCTTTCCAGCCCACACCTCTATTAGCACATAGAGCAGCCTCATGAGCCTAAGAATGAAGCCACCCTTCTTCAGGATAATCGAGATGCTGTGTGCTGGGAGAAAGTGTCATCCCTGTGGAAACCTACAGTGACTAGGAGGTGGATAGCACCACTGAATTGCCTCGCTGGAAAGGCCATCTCACTTTCAGTTAACCAGCCCCAGGACTGCCTGTATTTAAGCAAACATGGCCATAGCAAGCCATAAATGGCATTTTTCCACAAATGCAGGAAACCGGGAGGCTTCCCTGCTGGGAGGCTGCCACACCCTGCCGCAAGCCAAGAGCAGACACCTGGCAACACAGTGCAGGCATCACTGTAGTAGGTCCTGGTCCTCCTAGGTCAAGCCTTGACTCTGCCACCTACCTAGGCTGTGACCACTGCAGCCCAGCCTCTCAGGGAAGCCTTAGGTGTCCTACCAGAGTCCCTCTGAGGACGTACCGTGCTCACGCTGGTGACACATAGCAACATCCCAATTGCACAAACCAAGGAGTAAGATACAAAGCAGCCCTGCTGAGGCACCACTTGTGTCTAACCTGTGACGATTTTGTAGCCCAGCTCCTTCAGGGCCTCAGATAGAGCCCTGCAGTTGGCCACCACCTGGTGCTGATAAACTTTAAATTCCGGAGTCATGGTCTGCTTCAAGGCCACAGCAACCCCTGAATAGGAAGAGACACTGACTCAGGAGAGCAGGATAGCATCAAAGGCAGTACGTGAAAAAGAAAAAAATCCCTCATTTCCAATCAAACGTCTTTGCTTTCTTTTTTTTTTTTTTGAGACAGAGCCTCAAGCTATCCCCCTGAGTTGAGTGCCGTGGCTTCACAGCTCACAGCAACCTCCAACTCCTGGGCTCAAGCGAGTCTTCTGCCTCCGCCTCCCAAGTAGCTGGGACCACAGGCGCCCGCCACGTCTGGCTATTTTTTTTGGTTGCAGCCGTCATTGTTGTTTGGCGGGTCCGGGCTGGATTCGAACCCGCCACCTTAGGTGTATGTGGCTGGCGCCTTAGCCGCTTGAGCCACAGGCGCCGAGCCCGTCTTTGCTTTCAACATCACCTAAAGGACATTATTGCACTTTCGTCCAAAATGGTATGTTTTCAACCCTATATTACTAAGCTAATCTTCCAGACTTTACTGAAGAAACTTTCTCTGGGAAACTGCTTTTGAGGTGACCTTTCTCATGGTAGTGTAGTGCTAATATTATCATAGCAAAGCTGTTCATTAGCAAGATGGATCTCACGGTCCTTTTTAATATTGATGTCTAAGATAATTACTTCACAGTCCTAACAGCTGATGCCTTGATGCCAAGCTATGCAGACCCTGGGACCAAAGTCCAGATGAGAGGTGGGCCTTACTTTACCCTGGACCTTCATTCAGTCCTGAGACCTGCTTAAAAGGGACAGAAAATGAAGGAGAAGGCAAAGCCCACTGCCTCAGTGCCAGCACAGGGCACCCAATCAATGCTTTGGAAATAACAGCAAAGGGCCAAGTGGCCTGGGACCATGGGGTCCCAGCATCCCAGACTTGAAACCTTGGACACTGAGAGTGTAAGTGTAAGGAGAGTCCATAAGAACATCCCCTGGACCCCTGACACTTCCCACAGCTGTGCCTAAGACCTCCTATTCACTGCCTGCCTTCTTGTTTCCTCTTTGGAAATGCTGGTACATCTCTTGACCCAGCAATGACACCTTCATCCCCAGCACCTGGGTCGACAGTGGGATGATGCTGAGATCATCATAAATGTCCTAAGAGAGCCTGCAGGGCAGTCATAGAACCCAACCAGGAGTTATCAAAGTCGCACCAGGTGAAGTAGGTGAGCACCACCCCCACAGCCAGGGCCTGTCGTGGGAGAGAGGCCTGCCCCGCAAGATCTAGACCCTAACCTTCTCTCTCTCTGCCATGCCCACCTCTGCTGGCCAGGCTCCTTCCCCTCACACCTTACAGACTGGTATGATAACAGTGTTGCCTCCAGGTGGCCGTACATGCAGAGTGGACAATGCTTCCTTCCTGCCTCCACCAGACACACAATCTCAACTATCTCCCCTTTCTTCTGTTAGCATCTCCTGGACAAAACTGTCCACTACTTGGTCCCCCAGTGTGGAAGGACAGATAAGATGGCAATTAGGGCTCCCAGGATGAGCAGAGTGGGAGATGACACTCACCAGCAATGGCATGGTTGTGCGGCCCTCCCTGCAGGCCTGGGAACACAGCAGAATTGATGAGTGACTCCAGATTGTACAGAATGTCCTTGCCAGTCTTGGGATCCACGCTGTGCACTCCTGCATGATGGGAAGCATCACCATGGGACTCAGGCAGTCCCATCTGTGGATGCCACAGGAACATCAAGCACCAGCCTGGCCTTTGCTCCCACCAGCAAGAACTGCCTAGTGATGCAGCAGGACAGAGGGGCTCTGAAACGCCGGCTGCTCCAGCACCTCACTGCACCTGCCTGCTCTGATGGCTTCCTACTTAGCAGCTTGACTAGAAAGAGGCCTCAAAACTGAAAGGACAGCAACATCTCCACTGAGGCTGTAACAAAGAACTTGCCTTGGACATATTTCCTCAGTGTCCAGGATGACCTCTCTGAAGGAGACCCTATATACGGGGCATAAGGTTTATTTCCAAGAAAAAGTTCATCAGTAATAATAACTACTATTCAACAATAATTAGCAACAACTTTTATATAGCTTCTTACAAGCCAAAAACTACTCTAAGCACATTACAGAAACTAATTCATTTAATCCTCAAAGGGATAGGTCTATGTTGTCACAGAGAGGCTGCACAACTGGTTCAAGCTCACACAGCAGGCGGTGGGTGTGACAGAGCCAGAATTCGCTCTGACCATCTGGCGCCAGAGCCCAGCAGCTCCAGGTCAAATGAATCACATCAACACCCAGTGGGGAAAACGCAAGTGCCTCCCAGGCAGATGGGAACAACTACCTGCTTTGTAAACATCAACACGGGTAAGAAAGGTCCCCAGGAGAGCACAGAGGCACAGGGCCCTGAGAAGCTGCATGGGCACAGGGTGCCCTGAGCCAGGGTGAGAGCACTGCAGTTGCTAGAGGGCCGCTTCCCTGCGGATCCAAGTTAGCAGGTCTCCACGTGAGCTGTCCCGGCCATGGGAATCCCAGAACAAGGGAAATGCCTACAGCTGGGTTGTAACTACTGGAAAGAGAAATTTCTCACTAAAATGAGTGAACTTGTATTAAGGTTTATATACTAGTGTCTTGTAGTTTGATTACTGTGAGTCTTTTTCTCTAAGAAACATGCTAGGCCAAAGGAAGTTCACCAGAACACGGCTGTACTGTGAGGCCTCTGGGAGCCCCGGCCAGCCACACACACTTTCCTTTCATTCAAACACCTGCCTATGCAGGGGAGGATAAGATGAGCAAAAGACCATTGACAGCTCCCACCATTCCAACACAGAGCAGTTGCCCATCCCCTTCCTGCCTTCCTCAGACCTGGATACACAGGAATGAAGCAAGAGCTATGTGTGGCTTAGCTTCCTTCCAGACCCTTTCTGTAAAGCCTGTCACTGCTCCTTCCTAAGAAGCTCTCTGAAGGACTGGGGTGCTCATATCTTGGCTCCCAGGTCGGAGTTGTTCCCAGCTTCCTCAACTGAATCTGAACCTCCACAGGAGAAATATGGACCATGGGACCCTTCTGCACCCCACACTTGGAGCAAACCTCTCCTGTAGAAGATCATGCCGGCTCGGCAGCCTCTCAAGGTCTTGTGAGTTGTGGTGGTCACCACATGGCAATGTTCAAAAGGAGAGGGCACCACACCAGCCGCCACGAGTCCACTGATGTGTGCCATGTCTGCCATGAGGTATGCTCCATTCTCATCTGCAATCTTCCGCAAACGTGCATAGTCCAGATTTCGGGAGTAGCAACTGGTTCCTGAGACAGGAAAGGTGACACAGCCAAGTCAGAGGTGTCCACAGGCCACCTGAGTTGGCATCAGTGCAAATCTGGAAAATGGCCTCTAGGTTTGCACATCTGGAAGCCTGGAGAACAGAAATGAGGAATGCCCTTGAAAAGCATCTTTGGGCAAAAG